TAATAGCTGATTGAATCAGCTATTAAATAAAAGCGCCAAAAAAAGCCCCACTAAAGCACCCAATCTATGCAGATATCAGGCAAGCCAGGTCCAACTAATGCAATGCCTGTTCTAGGCGTGTGCTGGGCTTGATGCAGGAGCACGCTGGTTTTAAAGTAGAGTGCTGTTTTGGGGAGGTGGGGGTTGGTTGGTTGGTTGCTTGCTTGCTTGCTTGCTTGTTTTTAATGTCTTTAAGCAGTCTTAGTAGTTTTCCTTGTTTGATGTCAAGTCCAAATACTTTTCCTGGAGTTTGATGCAGTGTACAGGCAGCCTTTACTGAACGGATTCTCAAGCATTTTGCTTTCAGCATATAAATGAGTCTCTTTCATGAATATAGTTCCCACATCTGAAACCTGATGTTCATATGCCCCTGTGGCTTTCTGTGCCATAGGTGTCTGGCAATGCTCTCATGAAGCAATACCAGGTACAGTTCTGGAAAATGATGCTCCTTATTCGAGAAGACTATTTTCCCAGGTAAGAAACCTGTAATTAGACACCTGAAAAATTTATGATGGAACTTTCACTTTTACATTAGGATTAAATGCTTTTGCATTTTTGTATTTGGATCTACCCATGTTAGTGTCCCTGATGACTGATAAAAATGTTCATCTTCTCTTATAATTGTCATGACACCTTCTGTTTTTAAATTCTTCTATCCTATTTTAAGATTTTACTTTTTAGAGCTCAGTCTTGTTCATCTCTCTGCAGGATTGAAGCAATCACCAGCTCTGGACAGATGGGTTCTTTAATGCGTTTCAAGCAGTTCTTGGAGGTAAAATACTTTTGTATTTGGGCTTATTTTCCTTTCCCCCCATCCTCTTACAAATGTCTTGTTCAGTCAGCAAGGCTCCTGATGCCTCCTGATTTCTCCCCCTCCCAAAAAAAATGATAAGACTTTTTGGTCCATTCTGATTTTATATGGTTTCTTTCTTAGTCTATTCAGCTGTCATCATGGTTGATTTCAAAACATGTTCCGTTCACCCTCTCCGCCCCCTCAAATTTTTTGGATGGGTGTGATTCTACAAGAAAATTCTTTCAGTTACTCAATGATGTCCTCTGGGATGGTGGTTGCAGTGAGAGGAGAAACTTCAGCTCAGGATTTACAGCTGTGCTGAGTCATTGTATTTTATAGGAGCTAGGCCTCCATGTTCTCACGGGGAGTGCTGCACAGATCAGATATCATGTGAGCAAATAAATTAGCCAATAATCTTAGAGTAGACTTTTGGACTATACTGCACAACCCCACCTAGCTTTATACTCATTGTATGCATTCTTTGAAGAAAGGTTTTACAAAGGTGTTAAGTACTAAACATCTATATAATTCTTATTTTGAAAGAGCTTTGCTGAGAGTGACTGAACTTAATACATTTTCACCTACCATCAGCTTGTGAGGTTCTTGTTTTGAAACAGCTATTTTTACTAACCGAACCTTTAAAGAGCAAGTGTGTGATAGCTATAGCAAGAGTTTCTCAAAACAAATTTGAAAAGAAATATTTAATAAATTAGAGATGGATTCCTTACTAGGTTATAAATTTGAGTTTATTTCTCTAATTGCATTTCAAACATAATACAATGAAACTTTGCAAATAAGAAGAAAACATAAAAATTTGAACTGTGAGATAAAGGTTTGTTGCAAGCTGCATTAGATGAATACAGAATCATTATCAGTTATTTGTATATTTAGCAATCTGGGCATGCATTATTCCAAGCTGTTTGAGCTGTCTTTTCAGTGTTTAATGAGTAGACCATAAATCCAGTTCTTTATTCAAATTCATTCAGTTGGCCAACTTAAAATGGTCACATTTGGTTAATGGTATTTGTTTCTGTTCCTGCATTTATAGCACCCTTTCTGGGAGGAGTTTTCTGTGCATTTTGACTACATTCCCTGTAGTGTGGTGCTTGTGGAAATTTCTGTAATGCAGTCAGTACTCTTCCTATTGTATGGAATTGCTTTCACTGGTTTTAAAAGAACTGTTTGGTTTTGTTTTATTTCCTTCCTCCTCCAGAAATGTTTGCAGAAGCAGGAAATTCCTTTACCGAAAGGTTCTCTGCAGTCATCTTTCTGGAGGTCATGAGGCAGATCCTTCCTATTTTCATCTTCACAAGAGTCGAAAGGATTTCCTGGTCTGGCTTCCTGTTTCATTTGGGGATAAAATAAAAAAAATAATTTCTATTGTGTTTTTAACATGGGATTTATGTTTTATGTTGAACAGTGTTTCAGGAACGCTTCTTTGTCTAATTTATTTTGCAAATTATTTTAAATTATTCTGTTAAGATTTGATTAACTTTGTAGACGTTATTGTGCAGTAAATTATGGAATATCAGATACATCTTCATGTCTTTACTGTGTTGTTTAATAAGTGTCAAATCTGTGGAAAGTATCTCAAAGTTACATTGGACTCCAGAGTTTATAGTAAGTGGTGACACTCGGGGATTTTGCACACAATTGACAGTCTGTCCAGGCTTTTACGTGACACAGCAGAAGTGGAAGTACTTCAAGGTTTTATGGAGCCTTGGATATACTGAGGTCAAAATATAAAAAATTAAGCTTCAAAAATCTATTTTTGTATTTCATGTGTTCAGTTGTTTAATTATGTTGATATGGTTGCATCCTGTGGAAAAAAATGTTTAAATTGCTAGCCTAAAAGTCCCCAAAAATAGGTAGAGGTGGTTAGGCTTACACGGCTGCTCTGATTTCTGTTGAATGTCACTTTGCTTTGAGAAACTCAGTATTATCTGGGGGGAGATGCTTTTCTCTGGGGAAGACCTTTTAAAATGAACAGCTTTTTAATGTTTTAAAAACCTTGCTCTTCCATTGCAAAAATGTCTTTATTTATATTGGACAGACTTGATTTTTATAATTACAATAGGTGATACGTTGTCTGCTAAAGAACATTTCACTTCACTGAAAAAAAGATTTGCAGGTGTGCGAGTGAGTAAGTAAGTAAATAAAATGTAGTATTTTCACCAAGAGTTTCTAGAGAGAACTCTGCATTCATGATCCATTGCATGAACTGAAAGTTAGGGTTAGTCTAAAAAGTAAGCATGGAAGAATACTTAAGAGACCATACAGATACTTTTGCTGTTATGTGAACAGAAAAGAAGTTTCCTTGGCTTGTTCCAGTATGAACTGAAATGTAACACAAATGTATATTTAAAAAGAGCCTTTATAATTTTAACCAGTTTCTTTCTTAACAAGGAATATATCAGTTTAACTGCAGATTGTGTATACAGTATGGTGATAATTTTATCCTGTGCTAATGTAATGGATTATGATAAAAAAATAGTTCATTTTAGAAACTTACTTGGGGGGGGGGGGGAAATCATGCTTAAACTTTGCAATTTTACTACTTTCTGTGGGTGCCTGGAAAGGTGATCAAGCAAGGCTCTGAGCATCCTTATTGGGTCACTCCATGGGGTATATGTTTATGGTAAGTGAGATTTTGGATGTGATCTTTGACATTTAGCTGATGGTATGCACTCCATGACATGCTGCCTTTCAATGGCCTATGTGAAATCTGTTTATCTAGTTCCTAGCTTCCATGGTTCTGCACTTCAGAAAGCCCTTACCATCCTCACAGCTGGATAGCAATTTAATGCTGACAGGGAAAAGAGAAATGAATAGGGAAATTAAAATGACATCCTCTCTGGAGAGGTGGCTCACCCACAAAAAGCATCGGGCAGTCTGGGAAAGCTGCTCCTGGCATTGCATGTTATGTGCCTGTTTGAATAAATAGACCAGTAGCTTTTACTCCAGGCCCCTACCCTTCCTGCAGCTTTTCCCACCACGTTCCTAATATGCTTCAGTCATATCCTGGATGGGTCATTTCAGATGGGGAGATAGTTTGCAAACTTCTTTATTTAGCCTCTCAGCTGAGATTTAACGCTTCCTAATGAGAGCTGACAGCTGTATTGCGGTTTTGTCCTAACTGAAAGTGGAGCGGGACTGCACAGTACTCATTTTATACGGTCTGTGTAACAGCTATCAGATGGTTGGTACTTATTCCTGGTTGACATGGGCTGTATTTGAAGCAGTGAGAAGTGAAAGTGTCTCTTGTTCCAGATTCCCCAGGCTTATTCAGTCCTCTTGATGAAATCTTTAGTTCAGAAATGGTACATATAAAGGCTGTTCTTTGGTGAAGTTGACAGTGCTTAAGCTACAGTGTTTAATAATATGCATCTAAAAGCTTAAACTTTCTAGAATTAATTCTTCCAGGAAGTGGAAAAACTGTGTTCTTGGCACGCAATCTAGCTTGATTTTTCTTTTCTTTTTTCCTTTTCCTTTCCTTTTTCTTCAGGAGGAGATTTAACTCAATGCATAGCTCAGTTTTACCAAACTATGCAGTTTTATTTGTGGTATTTATCTTTTTAAAGCTGTTGCTTTTGGAGTCGAATGATCATGTGAGGAAAATCAGATTTCATAATTTTTAATAGCAAGTTTCTACTTCTCAAAGTTCCTGAGAAATGCTTGGAGAGGCTCAAACCAAAACATAAATAAAAAATTTAGTGTTTTATTTATTGATTTGTAAGCCCATTTTGTGGTTTTTGAGGCCTGACTTTGTATGTGTTTGGCAAGACTGACAGTTGTAGGATATTTTGGGGAGAATTTCAAAGGCATAAAGAGCAGTTATGTGCTCAAGTCGTATTAGTGCCTTGATAAATCTTATTCATTGCTTATTTTTGCATAACAGTTCTTTCTGTACAGAAGAAATAAGATTGTATTAACTGTCAGATATTCATAATGTCATTAATGATATTGTTTAGCCATCTTGAATCAATTGTCTTTTATACTGTTGTAAATATTAAAGATTTTATTTAGCTAATTTCTAAAATGTGGATCATGTTTTATAACATTACTAAAGATGGGATGGCTTCCCTCCAAGTTACAAGTAGAAATTATTTTGGTAATATATGTGCTTGCTTTTGATAAATAACCAAAGATAGTGGGCTTTTCTCTGCCTTAGTTTCAAAACTCCTTGCCTCTTGAATGTTTTTCATATGTACTCAGTACAAGCTTTTAGTTTAAAAACATCTTTATTTTGGTTATGATAAGCGTTTATGTACGTAGCCTTTTTAGAAGTAGCTCAGAAATGTTGGGCTGTACTGCCTGATGTAAATCAATTCTCTAGTTTTCTTGTATCTGCTTTCACCGTTTATTTAACAGTTTTTTGAGCATAGACCATCTTGCAGTATCAGGATGTCTTGAGGTATAAGAAATCCAAACAGTGATTTTTTTTTTTTTTTATAAGCATGAGTGTATTTAAATTATCTCTATTTTAAATATTCATGTGGGAACCTCTGTGCATGTAGGACCTGATCCAATCGCAATTACTGACTCACAGTTGGTTGCATTGCAGCCAGGCAGGTTCTGATATACCATCAGTGGCAGATTTTTGTCCTACAATTTAATGTTCTCCTCTGCAGTTCTCAATGTTTTCAACAAGAAAGTCCTTACCCATAAGAGTCTGCTCCCTAATATATGTATGGTCTATTTAGGGTACTTCTCCTGAGCAGGACTGGCTTTCCTATTTGGCTTTCTTGCTTTGGTTTTAGTTTGTCATAGCAACGCTCCTAAAAGAAAACGAAATGGAAGTCTCTTTGCTGGTGGAAGCCCTGAGCTCTGGTGAAATTCTGGGCTCGACTCGAGTGTGTCCTTTCTGGCATTTTGACCTTGCATCGTTCATTTTGCATCAATATGTCCTTGCTTGATCCTTCCTTTTCCTACACCTACAACTGCTTCTGGGTCACGGTAGAAATGCAAGCTTTTCCTAAGGGTGACAGTGCTGTAAATGTTGTTTTGTTCTTTATATCTCTGCTGCGGCATGGTTCAAAAGGACTAGCACAAATGAATGGAAGAATAGTAATAAAAAATAAATAAAACAGCTTTCGCAAAAACAGACCATCAACCCCCAACAAAATTTGAGTTTTCGCAGCAGCTTTCCGGCGCAATAAATGAAACCAGCTCTGCCCCAGAGCACCACAGCCCCGGCCTCCGCCCTGCGCCCAGGCCGCCCCTCCCGCGCCGCTCGTCTCTTTCCGGAACCTCTCGTCTTTCTCCGGCTTCCCTCGGCAGCGCCTCGGCTCTGCGCCACCTCTCGTGGGCGGGGCCCGCGAGCGCCGGTTCGCTCCGAGGCAGCTCGGCTCGGGCCGTGCCCAGGGCGCGCTCTGCGGCGCTGACGTCACCCCCGGCCGCCCTATAAAAAGGGCCGCGGCGGGCAGCGCGAGTAGTCAGTGTGTGAGGGTCGTGAGGAGCTGAGCTGAGTTGGACCCGGCACAGACCCGGTGAGCTGGGACGGGGGTACGCGCCAGGCCGGGGCGGGTCAGAGCCGAGCTCCCTTCCTCCTCCCGCCGCAGCTGTTAGAGGCAGGTGCAGCGGCCCTGCGCCCGCCGCCCTCGAGCGAGGAGAGGGGT